CGAAAACGCTCAGAAATAAGAATTTGAATTTAAAATTTGAACAATAAGTTAGTCTGCCCCATAATAAAAATAACATTTTTTGATTTAGTTTTTTGTTTTTTTAAAATATGGAAACGAATTATAAAAAATGTTGTTTTTAGGGTGGAATAATTTGTGAATTTTTAGCTAAGCCGGATCTGGATTTTTCTACTTTTATATAAATCAGTTTATTCGACAAGATGTGGATGATAAGTGTAGCAAACGTCATAAATATATACAGGGTTGTTCCCAAGTTATGAATAAGGAAAGAAATGAATAAAATTGATAAAACACCTTGTAATCTCGGTTATAAACGGCCAAAGACCCATTATCTAGAATCACCTCAGTGGCCTCCATCCACACTTAAAGTGTATGTCCGTTTCCCAATGAATCACCCTGTATACCATTCTAAAGCACTGATGGCCTAAGATTGGAAGTAAGGTCGACCTTCACTCATCTGTTTAACGGATGAAAGTTTCTTTTTATTAAATACAATATGTTAATAAATATACCGCAAATGGATTGTCTAAGAAAATACAGTCAAGACTATTTATTTTTTAAAGTAAAAAAAAACGACACCCTGTAAAGTATTCCCCAGATGAAGTATTTAAATAAATCATCCAAAAGCCCATATCATATCTTATATAGGGTAGTCGGGGGCAAAAGTCCGCACGGGGTAAAAGTCCGCATGCGAAGAGCGGGGGGAATTAGTGGATATATTACACCAGAGACAACAGAGACGTGTAACTTAATAGGAAAAATTGTTCGGTGGTCCATTTAAATTACATATATGACTTTCTTTCTCTTTTACATTGATCTTTACATATATTTATCTTCCTCCAATAAAACTAACACCAATCTAAGAGGTCGCTGATGTTGCTGGTTTTTTGACGTCGACGTATCGATTAAAACTGACAACTGACAATGTTATGAATGTTGTTATGAACGTGTGCATTTTATTAAAATTAATTTAATTTGGGCCCCGTTTATTTCTTTGAGTCTGATTTTGTTGTTTAATTAATTTTCTTTGGGGGGGAATGTTTATTTTTGCATATTATTTTTTGCATGAAGCAATTTCTGGAACCAAACTTGCGTTTTTGTACACATTTCGTTCTAGAGGTAAGTAATTTCCAATTTATTAAGAAAACCACTGTATAATGTGTGTGTTTAATAATATATTACAAAATTACTATAATTATTTTAGGTGAATTGGAACAGAGATCCATTGTTACAGCTACTTTTGTTCATTAAGTAGGTAGATGAATGTCTGGACAGCTTTAATGGCAGCACAAAGTTCCTACCTACTAGAAAAGTAAAATGTATGCAGAGTAAAGAATCTACACATGTAGTATTGGCAAAGGACTTTTGAAATGATTAGAGATTGGCTATTTCTTACATACACCTACCTCTAATAGCCACTCTAAAGGAAGAAAAAAAATTGAATCACAAAAGGGCAGAATTTTAAATCAGGATGCATTTAAAAATAAATTTGGGGACATTAGGTCGGTTTTGGATTTTAGAGAGAGATTAATCTCAAGAAAAGTTAATTTATCCTGCAGAACAACCAGTAGTGTAAGTAGGAATTGCTATAACTTTATTAGAAATTTTCTTTGATAATAAATTGTAATATAGGTACCAATTGTTTCAAATGAAATTGAAAAAGAGTTGAATACGAAATTAGATTTTTCATGGGTAAATTGTTATATTCATTCAAACATTGTAAGGTAATCTATAATTAAGGGAATATGGAAAATAGGTATACCCTGGTGGTGTAAGAGACAGGTAAGGGGCAATGACAAAAAAATTACAAAAATGTATTCATCTTTAAATAGTGTTTATTATTAATAATATTATTTGCTATGTTTGAAAAGTACTTCCTGCTGCAGAACAGATCGAATAGATTAGACTACTAGTTGGAGAAGGTCCACCTAGTAACCAAATTAGGAGACTAGGAAAACTTTTACATGACTGAGGACACAACAGGAATGCACACACACAAGATACACAAACAAACGAAATAACAGGGGTAAGCATTCAGCAACGTCCTGTTTAAATGATGATAGTGTGTCATATTTCATTCCCTTTTAGAAGGCATGACATATAAATCTATTGATCTTGATTACCCTAAGAGGAGTTAGCAGGGGGTGTACGGAATGGGTCTAGCAGGTTTCGATCCAGTTTACAGGATGGGAACTTACTCGACTCGGGCCTTATACATTTGTGTTGAGTGTATGTGTGTTTATTTGGACTACATCAAACCCTGGACAAGTAGTGACAGAGTACCACGTCGCTGGATTATTCAAGCAAACCTACGAAAAAACAGCTACTATCGAAAAAGCTGTTAACAGATTTAAGATGACTGGCATATACCCTCTAGACGAAAATATTTTTACCGAGGAAGATTTTCTACCTGCGTCGGTAACAGACCAGGAAAGAGAAATAGAAGATGATGTAGATATCAATGATGAAGACATGCATAAAGAAATTGTATTTGAAGAAGACGTATAACCTCAAAGCGATAACGAAGCAGAAAATTTTGGCAATACTGAGAAATTTCTAGATGAAGATGATGTTTCAAATGCTCCGAAATCTCCAAAAGCCAGAAGTGTGCAAGAAGACGATCCCCAAAAACCTGGTTGTTCAAAAGAAATCCCTGAACAGTTTTCTATAACATTACCGTCAGATATCGTTCCTCTGCCATTACTTACTAAAAAGAGAAAGCGAACAAGAAAAGGATTGAAATCTACTTTCCTTACCTTAACACCTAATAATCGTCCTCTGACTCAGATATTCAAATGCCCCTTCATGATAGCAGCAACGTACTCCAAAAATGATTCCAAATTAAATAGTGGGTCATCTGGGCTAAACGTAGGGAAGTTCGCTGTAGTAAAAGTTTATGGAAAAACGAAAGACTCATTCCGACTCTACGTAATTCGGATAACTGCAACAGAAGATGATGGCTGCCATGGAATTTTTTACAAAACGGCACCTAACACAATGCGCTTTTCAGAGACAGAGAAAGAGTTTTATGTAAATAAAACCGACATTGTTAAGAAACTTTCCAAGCCATTGCAAAGTAGTTCTGCAAGATTTAAGGACTTTGTTAGTTTTTCTACAGATTTAAGCGATTTAACGTTGCATTAGTTTAATTGTTTATTATATCTTTGGAATTTCCCCAAATAATTTGTTTGAATTTTGTTTATTTTTTTCAATATTGCCAAGTATATATTTAAGTTTTTGTTAAAATACATGTTTTTATATTTATTGTAGTCGGTTATTATTTATTCATAAACATATTTATTCAAAAGGGGCAAAGATCAGCTTGCGGATTTTTGCCCCACTAAATGGGGCAAAGATCCCGTTTGGCCATATTCAGGTTTATATTCCTGAATTTCTTTAAAATAAGTATTTCGTCTTAATTTCATATATAAACGTACATGCATGAACATACCAAACATATCGACACATTTCAAGTACATTATAGAAATGAAAAGGGTCCAAAATATGACAAATACTAAAAGTGCGGAATTTTGCCCCCAACTACCCTATATTTATTTTAGTAGCGCATTTTTGTAAAGTTGAAATCTCCAGCAAGGGATATTTTATAATAGCAAACTCTTACTCAAATATCTTATCGTGAATGCTTTAAAAATGTCTTCTCAGCTCCAAAAAGCCCTTGTTTTCTTCTTTACTCAAATATCTTATCGTGAATGCTTTAAAAATGTCTTCTCAGCTCCAAAAAGCCCTTGTTTTCTTCTTTAAAATGATTTGTAACTATGTACTTTTTACTAAAAACTTCCTTTAGCAAACCCTTTTTTCAAAAATGTAAGTTTCTTTAGTAAACCCTTTGACGTTTTTGCTCTCGGTTGTTTTTAATGTTTGTAAGAGACCATCTCATCTGCTTTTAAATGTAGGGTAGACAAAGCTGCAATTAATTCAATAATTGCAGAATAATTACTCTAAAATTTTACCAGTAGCCTTTAATTTCAGTTTATGCTCAGTCCTTTTATTTCTTCTTACGATTTATGTGTATAAAAAATAAAAATTGTTTGCAAACAGCATAACTACGGCTCGCTCCAGGCTTGCCAAAATTTCAAAATATTTGTATGATCCGAATTCAGCTTGGAGACCATACCCTAATCCAAAATGTTTAAAATAAATCATTCATACAATAATATTTATCGTTATAATTCAAATAAAAAGTAATTAATTTGAACTTTGACGGAAATCATTACATGATTTTTCCATGTCGTTTTGTAGCTTGTCTTTCAAAATATCAAATTGCCAATTTTATAAAAACTCCAACAAAAGAAGTATATAGTCGATAAATAAAAATATGAACACCATTAAATTTTAATAAAATATTAGATTTTTTAAACAAATGTACGAACCGCAGCAGAATAATTTCTGGCAGCTCGATTTTTCATTCCGTGACGTTACACCCTTCCTTAGCAATGGACGGAAGATGCCACCGTGTTGTCTACGAAACATTGGTACCTGCATCAGGCAGAAGTGGCCACTCAAAATTATTTTCAGTTCCAAATCTTCATCAGGTTGGATTTAAAAAATACAAATTTTTCTAATTTTGTATCACTAACAGTTTACGCAGGTGCGGATCTGGGAAGATTTCTCGGGGAGGGAGGGGGGGTAAATTATTTTATTCGTCTCCGTCATCTTGTTTTTTGCTTTCTCGTAAAATCTCGATGTTACAATTTAATCAATTTCAGTATGCAACTCGGGGGATATTTACCCTTTTACCCCCCCCCCCCCTTCCCCTTGTAACTTAGCCTGGGTTTACGAGATAGCAAGTACATTTAAAATAAAAATTTGCCACCCTCTATACACATATATAAATATACATTTTTTTTTTGAGTTTATACATTGTATATTTTTTATTCTGTTTATTCTTTTATATTATTTAAACCATGAACTAAATACGAAAGTTCATGGTTTCAATAATCGGAGGACTCTACTAGGTATTACAAAAACGGTGGTCAGCTTTTACGTCACTACAATAATACAACTTTGGCGAACCCTACCCTCCAAAGCTAATGGTCGCGGTTGGCGATGGACTAGACACGGGCCAACTCGATTTGGAATCAAATTCAAACGAAAAGTGCATGTAAGCTGACGGTGACTACTCGTATAGTGAAACGGCGCGCAATTCAGTGATTTTCAGTTTATATGGCGATTTAATTCTAGTAGTTTTTGGAAGAACACGTTTTGTGTATGTGGCAAGTTCCTTTAAAAAAAACGGATAATAATCAAGAAAGTTGATTTTAAAGGGTAAGTTCAAATATTTTTAAAATTATATTATGTAGAAATAAAGAGACAAAAAACAAAGCTAAAATAAAGAATTTGATGTTGGAAGTTCTTCTCGAGACGAAGATTGATTTAGATTGGTTTCTCTCAACCGAAATTTTCTTTACGAGGACCAAAATATATTCTTAATTTTATCTTTTCGCACCGTTAAAACAAAAGTGACACTATACAAAAAATCCGTTTAGAGTCAATTTTTTGAATTAAAATTTTATTTTTAATCTTTCTGGTTAACAAATAAATTAAAACTATAATAAATAGGTCCATTAATATCAAAAAAATTGCTGTGAATAGTATGTTAATAGTAAACTAGTAGAATAAAATAATATTACACTAAAAGTGCTGTTCTGAAAATGTTTAATTTTTGTAAAGTTTTGTTTTCAATGTGCGTTTCGTGTAATAACTGTAGCAGCAATAACAATTCGGCATCAAAAAAAATTGCCCTTATTTTTAAACTTCTCGTGAACTCTTCGCAATATATTTATAATGTTTAATATTTTGCATACGAATACATTTATGTAAATTAGAAGAAAAAACGTATTTTTGAGCGTCTAAAAAATAGTTTCTTGATTCACAATGATCCTTGCTACCACATAAACATCCCATCTACATTAATAGGCTGCAATTCCGGGCTCTTTACAGGTACTGTTTGGGAACGAGAAACTGAGAAAGGCGACAGACGACAGCAGCAAGCGAGAAAATACCTCCTTGTTAAAATTGCTGTCGCGTCTCTTTCATCGGTCGCGCTGTCCCAAATGTGCTTTATTTAATTACGGTAATATACCATTTTCGGTCGCATTACGCTGTCGCTTGCCTTGTCTCCTGTCGTGGTTTCGCCTTCCCAAATGGCCCCTTAAGCTCGCATGCAATGTACTTTTAATATAACCCTAACATTAATGCAACCACCGAATGTTTGTAACTACAAGACTTTTATAACACATCTCATAGAGGTTACAAAGTGAAGTTCGGAGAATATCACAGTTTTACAATACTTTCCCCCGAAAGTTGTTCTGTTTTTATAAATGTTATAATGTGAATTAGTTCTACGGCATTATACAGTGAATCCACGGATGCACCTAACTATACTTGTAAAAATATTTATTTTAAACAAAAAAAGTAATTTCTTTTGCTTATTAAATAAATACGATTCGTGTTGGGAAATTATGAAAAATTACTTCTTTTTTAAATTTAAAATAAATATTTGTACATCAGTGGACACACTATATTGTTGTATATGTAACGAACTACCGAGAGGTGTAAATTGAGGTTATAGTAAAATCGCAATGAGACTAGGAAATTTTAGATAAAACAAAACATATAATTATATAAATTTATTATTAAAATGTTCTTATAATCAAGTACCAATATCCAGAGCCACCGAGAGCCAGACCGGGCCCTAGGACAATTCTCCAGATCGGGCCCCGCGCCAATTTTATAAAAAATTAAATAACAAATGGTCCTCAAGCAAAAATTTCTCCTCCTCTACTTGAATCTGTCTAAAAAAATATATTCAACTAGGAACTTTCCCCCTCGTCTGTCCTGAAAGTAACAAACACCACCGCTGCGGAGCTCCCCTTATACCGCTGCCGGGCCCCCATTTGAGCCCGGGCTCTGGGAATTAGTCCCGACTGCCCCCCCTCTCTAGTCGGCCCTGCTAATATCACAAAAGTAGAGATAGGTATTAATCACAAAGTAACGCAATTACACGATACTATAAGATACCTATATAACACTTAACGACTGGACAAAAGTGGATATAAAGGGTATATAAGGAATATCTCAAAGGTTCATTAGAATCTAAAACACTGAATGATTGCACAAAAGTAGCTAAATAGTATAATAAGGTACTTACTTATATTGCAAACCTAGAAGCAAACCTTGATAATTTATAATTCCTTCTGAGCCTTTATTTTTAGTCCGATTTTTTGAAATTTTCATGAAATATAAAAAATAACAAAACTTAGGGTATAGAAACCTTGAATTTTTTGTAAACATTAAAATTAATTTCAATTAAAAACATTTATGAGCCATTAAATCTATGAAAATTTGCTGTTTTTTGTTTAAGTAAATAATTATTAGTTTTTAAATGTGAAAATTTCCCACCTTTTTTTTAAACGTCTCTGTAAAGTGCTGCCTTATCGTTACACAAATTTAAAGCCCTCTTTATTTTCGAGAAACATATTATCGCGAAGTATTCCCAGTGGCGCACTTGTAAAAACAATTTAATATCAGAAAATCACTAAAACATTTTTGCTTTCGCGAAAGGTCCGGTTTGCTCTTAAACGGTGAAGAATTGTACAAACGGAGTTATAAAGTATATTTATAAGGTATGTTTCTTCAAAGGTTCACTAGATTTTTATCATGATGGCAAGTGTACGACGCTAAAGCTAAATCGGTGGATATTATATTAGACTAGAGAGGATAGCTAAGTTCCCTGATTTCTTAACAGTAGCCCCAGGTCATTTGAAATGTACAGAATTACATCATATATTTCAAAAAAAGCCTTTTAACTTATTTTTGTTAAGATATGTATAATATATTTTTATCCTGCTAGTTTATTATCTATGCAAAGGCCATAAAAAAATATTTTAAGGCGACTGTCATAAAAAATTACATTTTATGGATTGATTAACATCTCTAAAGGGGCACATTTTTGGCCGCATTTACTTTAGGGCTGCTTTAAAGTGTCAGTTTTTTGGCCACATTTACTTTACTGCTGCTTTTCATAAACACACCCACTAAACATGAAACATTACCAGTCTTTTTGGTAACGTTTCTCATAGAGACTGGTATGCGCGGATGTGTTGCGCACTAACCTGTTGATATAACGCGCATGTGTTATAACTTACTTTTACCTTTGATATTGATTTAGACCATAGTATTATAAAAAAATTTTCTGGAAAATTTCCTGAGATTTCAATAGAAGTTTAACTTGGCTTCTAAGCTTTTAACTTCAAGTTAATTTATTTCTATTCCGTTTAATATAGATGAAATATAGAAAATATTTATAGTCCATATAATATTTAGATAAAAATAAAAAGGTATGAATGTCACATTTAGTTCATTAATACGATTTTATTTTATGGGCCTTATAATAACATCTACAAGAAGTAAAAAGACTTTCTTGGATATAACAGGAATGTCACATCTGGTATGTTAAAAAGACATCATTTTTGGGAACTTCCAGTAACGTTGAATAACGTAATAAAGTAGAGTTATAATATCAACGTCTACATTGTTTCATCACAAAAGTAAACGTCCCTACTCTGGGTTTAGACGGTTATGAGTCCATCCTATAGATGAAAACAAGAGTAAAAATGAGATTTACAATGTAAGAATATGATGTAAAGTTCTCATTAATTTAACGTTTTTATGCATAGTGGACAGGTTTATCATACTTATCATTAGCGATTCTGTACAAATTTTATTAGTTAACGATGGATTTTTATTTGGTCCTTAAAAATTTGAAACAATTCTCGCATTTAAGCCTCTTTTCAAAAACAAGAACGTAAAAAAAATATTGGCTACACTTTATGACACAGTCGCCTAAAAAATGTTGTATGCCCTTCGGCCGGATGATCTTTTTTGGCCTAACCAAAAGTTGCTTGGCTCGGCTACGCCATTGGCCGCATATTTACGGTCTTGGTACACAAATAACAAGTATTATTGGAATCTCATGTGGCTAGAAAATATTTTTATTCATGCTGAGTATTTCACATTGAGTAGCTTCATAAAGTACTCATAAGTATCCGAGTATGAGTACTTATATGAATAATACTCAAAGCAAATGAGTACTTTTGCAAATTTTAGAGGGTATTTTAAATAATTCTAGTTAGTGACTTAAAGTTAGAAAGAAGGAATTATAGTAATTAGTAAAAGCAAGCCAATGACAAACAAAAACGAGAGTATCATCTTCTATCAATTAATTAGCACTTATCATTAACGTATCCGCCCAACTTTTACATTTTAATGTTGAATTAAAGTAAAAAGGGTATTAGGTAGAGGTAGATACACAGGTAGAGAATACTCAAAAGAGCAGTTATATATTTTAAAACTGTATACTCGTATATACCAGTGGTGTAACACCACCAAAAAAAAAAAAAAATATAAAATTTAACTAAGAAAACGAAATATTGTAGCTTCTAATAAAAAATAAACATAAAATCCTTCTCTCTATTAATTATTTGGTTATTTAAGTGTTTGATAGGTATAGGTAGGTAAAAACAACAAACACTCAGGGCATAGCGCTTTGAAGTATTTATTATCGCTTTATACAAAGAAACATAAAAAAAATGTACACTTGTCAGTGTAGGAGTCAGAAGTATTAAGTATTCTAAAATAAAAAGTATTTGAAATTTATTGGGTATACATCTCATCAAGATAAAAATACTTACGAGTACCAATTACTAGTACTTTGAGTACTTTGAGTACTTTGAGTACTTTGAGTACTTTGAGTACTTTGAGTACTTTGAGTACTTTGAGTACTTTGAGTACTTTGAGTACTTTGAGTACTTACTCAAGTACAATTTTGAGTATAATTTCCTCGAGTACTGCGCAGATATGTGCTGCAATGTAACATAAATATATGACACTTTATTAGAAAAGGATAAATTATATTTTTATGTAAAAATATTTTACTTTTCCACAACATATTGAATAAAAAAAGATTTACCTACTTGTTTAACTATTATTAAAGAAAAGGATATTAAAAAATAAAGATTTTGACTTATTTTGTTGTTTTAAATAAACAGTGGCTTCCATTGATGCGGGTGATGCGTCGCATCTCTTCGAATTATTGTCAGCTAATATTTTTTTATTTGAAATAAAATCAATAAGATCTCTTATAATAAACTGAAACTCTCAGTAAATTTATTCAAATAATTAACTTCAATTTCAATTATTTATGTATGTTTATCGATGCTTATAGAATACGCTACAAATAGAAATATAGTAGGTACCTATTTTTA